TATAAATATATAAAAAATATTTAAAAGATGAATCAAAAATATTAAAATATATAAAAAAAATAGAATCTAAAATAAAGATCTTTCAAAACATTTGAAAATATTAAAAAATTATTTTTATTTTTAATAATTTTTATTGTTTTGATATTTTTTATTTTTAATATTTTCAATATAGCAGAAATGGCAGACGGCAACAATGTTTAATATGAAGGCTATTGATATTCTATTTTACGATTGAACTTTTAACAAGACAGATATATATTCTCTCTATACAATCAAAATTATTTCCAAATAAATAATATAAATATATAAAATATTTAAAAGATGAATCAAAATATTAAAATATATAAAAAATAGAATCTAAAATAAAAGATCTTTCAAAACATATTGAAAATATTAAAAAATATTTTTATTTTAATAATTTTTATTGTTTTAATATTTTTATTTTTAATATTTTCAATATTTGTGAAAGATTTTTATCTCCCAATTTTATATCTTTATTTTCCATATTTAAATATGTATTTTTTTAAAAAAAATTGATTGATGTTTTTTAATTGATGGAATCATTTATGTTTTTCCTCCTATTTTTATTTATTTTGTATTTTTTTTTTTTGTGACTAATAAGTCCAGCAAATGACCGCTAAAGATTCTCAACAGTTTCATTGACTTTATTATTTGTGAATCGCCATGATTATTTGGGAAAGACAAGTGGGGTGGTTACCTGTTACCACGTTTTGAAATTCAGGATTTTTCCTCTCTTAGACTAGTCGCAACCCAAAGATAGGAAACTCATTCTGTCCTAAGAAACTGGCTATGGCTAAAGGAGACGGGTAAAGTGTCAGATTTGGTAACTATATTTCCCATGAAACAGTTCACATTATTATGGTAGATTTAAAGTTAAGTGTAGATTGTGTGTCTCAACAAGCCGTTTAAAGACGCAACAGTGGAACGAGTGAATGGTTAGTGGGGTAAAAGTCAGTCAGGCTACTGTAATAGTCTGCTGAAAACACAACACCCACTGATAAGGTATTGTAGATTCTGGAAGTTAATTGGCAATATCCCTCCACCGATGTTTTATTAGAATTTGAGTGAAAATAAACTATATGCTTGCTGAACGTCATTATAAATAAAGCGTAGTGAACGTGTGTCCGTCTCGACTAATCATAAGCAACCTGAAGTAAAAGGTAGTAACTAATGTAGTTTCACGCGATTAAAAATTAAATAAATAACTTATTTAAAGTTAAATTTAAATGTTATAAGATTTTAACATGGTGCAGTTTATTTTACACAAGCAGACATTTGACATTTTTGAAACATTTTTCTAGTGAAACGTACTATATCTAATCTGAAAGTCGACAGTTTCAGGATTTCAAAACTGGCTTAACTTTTTCTTAACACCAAGGATTTGTCAAGATAGAATTATTTGAAGTTAATCAAAACTCGCCCATGTTTAAGAATTTATTTTTAGATGATCAGTTCTGAATAGTTGTTTTTTCTGTTTCTTTTTGCATTGAAAGACCTTGGAGATCTGTTGAACCGAATGCCATAAGTAAAAGATAATTAATCCTTTGAGCCATGCGTTCCTTGACAATTTTAACCCTTCTGCCTTCGTATGTACGAGATCTACTTGAGGATTGGGTTGAGTCTATGTCCCAAGAGGAGCTCAAGGCACGGACCAACTCTGAGGGAATATCTGTTGATCGCGACAAAGTGGACGTGTTCTCAAGTCTTGAAATAACAAAGAAGACTGAAATACCATAAGATTTTAACATGGTGCAGTTTATTTTACTCAATGGGCTCTCAAGCAGACATTTGACATTTTTGGAACCTTTTTCAAGTGAGACGCACTATATCTCGTCTGAAAGTCGACAGTTTCAGGATTTCAAAACTGGCTTAACTTTTTCTTAAAACCAAGTATTTGTCAAGATAGAATTATTTGAAGTTAATCAAAACTTGCACATGTTTAATAATTTATTTTTAGATGATCAATTCTGAATAGTTTGTCTGCCTCTTTTTGCATTGAAAGTCCTTGGAAACATGTTGAAACGAATTCCATAAGTAAAAGATTGGCTTAACTTAGAACTTTAAAGAAATGACCAAATGAAATGACCCATTAACACCTTACCGGCGAAGACGTGTATATATATATATAAATGTCTCTTTTAGACACAGACGAATAAGTACATCCAAAACATGATATTTAAAACCAGCTACAGATGAATTTATATGTTGATCTTGATACTTTTATGCTCTTCTGAGCTTGAAACAAGTTCAATTGTCAACCCATACGTTAATTAAAACTCACACATGTTTAATAATTTATTTTTAGAAGATCAGTTCTGAATAATTGCTTTTTTCTGCCATTTTTTGCTTGGAAATTTATTGGAATCTTGTTGAAATGAATAAGTGATAATCAGGTTTAACTTGACAGAGAGAACAGTTTTAAAAACAATTCTTTATTAAAGGTTTAATTTTAATTTCACTTTTCGTCGCAGTTGTAATTGTTATCGTCTAGTTAAATTGCAATTAAAACTTAAGCAGGGTACGGTACGCTGCTCATACTGTTTATTTTCTTTGTCTAGCACGCGTACTGTGACGTATTCGAAATATTATATAGTTCGCGTACCCGAATGTCTTTTCAGCATGATTTTAAGTGGAAGGATAATATAGAATGGTGATTTTAAAAGAAAACAATAAGTGCGCGAAAAATAAATGTAAAGAAACTACACGAGACTAGCGACTACAGTTAAGCTAGCTAGATGTAGCCGTAAGTTCAATGCTAACACTTTGTTATCTCGCACTTCTCGCTTGTGGAACTCCCTCCCGAGTGCATGCTTTCCAGCCAAATTTAATCTGCTAAAATTTAAATACAATGCCAATCGCTATCTACTTTCCTCCAGACTTCTTTTTTTCTTTCTCTATATTATTAATATTTCTGTTCCTAATTCTTCCACACGCTGTGACCCCCTAGCGTGTAAGTGGCTGTACCGCCCTATTTGGGGTCATACTGATTTAACAAAAAAAAAAAAAAAAAAAAAAAAGAAAAGAAAGAAAAAAAGACTATTTTGAATAGTGATAAATTATTTCGTTTTTTTTTTTTTTTTTTGTTTGTTTTTTTTTTTAATTGAATTATTGGTATAACCCATGCAATTCCTCAATTCGTCTCAGAGTCCTGAAAATGTCGACCGGAAATGCATAAAAAGAACCCGGCTGGAAATCGGAGTTGATATTTTAATTGCAGTTTTGTACGTAATGTATGATCCCTAGGGCGAGATAGGTGGCTGATTCATCTCACATATTTCTTTTTTGGGGGGTATTTTTCTCTGATTTAATTTATTTTTCCTTTTTTTTTATTGTAATTTATTTCCTGAAAAGTTCTCGGTCCGACCAGATTCACAAAAAAAAAAAAAAAATATTTGAGTGACCATACATCAGAATAAGACTTAAGAGAATGGGGTCTGGACAATAAGTATTAAACAATAAATATTTCAATAACCCACTGAAGTGGATATGCCGCTAAATAAAATCAACCAATCAGTCCGTGATGTAGCTTTCGAGGTCTGAAATATTGAAAGCTGAGACGACACAAAACGCAGCATCAGTTTAATGTGATATTTTAAAATGTTTGCCGTTAATGGGGTGAACACGCTATCAGATCTCTTTTGGAAAGGATGATCACCAATGAGGAAATGATGGTCCCTTAGGATAATATTAGACTGTTAGATAAATTCATCCGTTTTTAATACTTTCTTTTAAAACTTATTATTTATTAATAGCTCTGATCAATCATTCAACAATACATCCAACCCCTTTATTGGTTACGACCTCCTGCCAACGATCTAGCAATTTCAACATGAAACTAACAGTATTTTATAACTAAGACGTTAATAATCTGTAATGTTATAATATCAACGGATATGAAAACTTTTACTGTCTTCTCAATTCATGATGGAGGAATTCCCGCAGGAGGCTGCCATTACATCCGGCGTTAGACTGGTTTCCAGTCTGTCCTACTATTTTATACATAGCTGGGGAGAGAAGAAATGAATTCACAACTTTTCCCAAGGTTATTTGCGTCTAAATAAATGCAAAACTCGACTGGAATTCGAACTTCGCTCTCTGATTTCCCATTTCAAGCCGTTATTCATGACAGCATCAGTACATACAAGCTTACAGAACCTGGCACCTGGTATTAAGGCTCAACTTAAATAAAGTTAAGTCACGACTTCAACTTCGGTGATCAAAAGAGAACAGGTATCTCAAAGTGATATGGCCGTAATCTTTAATCTAATAAATTGTTTGGGATGTGGCCTTAGAACGTTAGCATTCTTGTTTCATCGGGTCAATGCTCCAGTACAACTTAGTTTCATTGGAAGTTGTGCGTGACTTTTGCTTTTGATCACCCTCACTTTTCTCCTAATTTGACTATCATCTGTTGCATAAGATGAAAAGACATTTGGCTATAACCAGTATGCCAGTGATGATGAGGTTTATCTGTTGGTGATCATTTTTTTTTTTTAGATAACAGGATGAACGGTCTTTGAACTGTCAGATGTTATTTTACCTGGAAAGAAACAATGGGATTATTAATAAGATTTGAAATTGATACATGTAAGGTTTCACAGCTCTAGCATCATTCTATGAACTTTTCAGCACACCCTCTTATATTAGTAGAATTGGTAGAATTTCAGTGTTTTGTTTCTTTTAACAAAAAAAATCTTTATCTTTTTATATATTATTTTGTATTGCTTAATTTTATATTTTTTTATTGTTCATTTTTTTCATTTGTTTAAGCGACACTTAATATCAGTAGTGGGAGTGTTTGGGATTGAGTCAAATTTCAGTCCAGGCTTACGGCCATATCACGTTGAAACCCCGGTTCACGTACGACCACTGAAGTTAGGTAACGTCGAACCAGGGCATTACCTAGATGAATGACGGCATGGGAATGTCATGTGCTTGGATGTGCGAGGGATATAAAGAGCTTTCAGCGACAACACGTTTAAAGACTGGTTCCCTTACGATCACCGAAGTTAAGCAACGTCAAGCCGGGTCAATACCTAGATGGGTGTCCGTTTGGGAATATTATGTGCTGTAAGATGTACGGGTGGTGTAATGAATAATCTCCTGAAATTGTTAATCGGAGAGTCGAGTTCGAATTCCAGTCGGGTTCGTTTTATTCACTTCCGCGCAAATACCCTTGCGAAAGATATGCATCTACCTCTTCTCCCATCAGCTATGGGTTAATTAGTAAGACTGGTATTACTAAATTACTATTATCTCCCTCAGAAAACAAAAAAAAAAGAAAAAAAGAAAAGATTCTTACGATAAAAAATATTTTCTGGCTTTAAATAACCTGTAAAGGGTTGATAAACCGTAAGAAAACGAATGAATCACTCAATGGAAATCTGAGTTCAGTTACGGTGCATGAATTGGATAGCGGCTCGGATTGAGGAATTGGAGAACCGAGTTCGAATTCTAGTCAGGTTCATTACATTCATTTACGTGCTAATACCCTTGGGAAAGGTATGAATTCCCTTCTTCTTCCATCAACCCCCCCCCACCCTGATATGGGTAAACAGCAGGACAGACCGGGTTCTATAGCCTTGGATGGCAACTGGTTTACGACAGAAAGAAATGGCAACCTACTGGAGGTGGAAAAATCTGCTTCGTCAATCATATATCGAAAGATAAATGATCGTCTAAGCGTATATTACGCATGGCACATAACTGACTGTAGTTCACTTACGTGCTAATAGCCTTGGGAAATGTATGAATCTTCTTCTCCCCCACCCCTGATATGAGTAAATAGCAGGACAGACCGGGTTCTATAGCCTTGGAAAGTAAATGGTCTATCGCAGAAAGAAATGGCAAACTACTGCGGGTGGAAATATCTGCTTCGTCAATCATATATCGAAAGATACATGATCGCCTAAGCTTGTGTCACGCATGGCACATAACTGACAGAAATTCACTTACATGTTTATATTTTTAGGAAAGGTATGAATCCTCTTCTCCTCCCACCATCTATGGGTAAATAGCAGGACAGACCAGGTTCTAAAGCCTTGGAGAGTAACTGGTCTACCGCACTGGTCTACCGCAGAAAGAAATGGTAACATACTGCGGAAAAAAATCTGCCTCGTCAGTCATGTATCGAAAGATACATGATCGCTTATAACACGCATGCCACATAAGTGACTGAAATTCACTTACGTGCCAATACCTTTGGGAAAGGTATTAATCTTCTTCTTCTCCCACCATCTATGGTTAAATAGCAGGACAGACCAGGTTCTAAAGCCTTGGATAGTAACTGGTCTACCGCAGAAAGAAATGGCAACTTACTGCGGGAAAAAAAAATCTGCCTCGTCAGTCATGCATCGAAAGATACATGATCGCCTACATAATGGCACATAACTGACTGACTGCTTCTAAACGAATTGCTTCCCCAATTTTTTTTTTAATTTCTCGTGTTTGATTGTTGTTCACATGACGATTTCCTTCATGAGTCAACATCACATCATTCCAGATTATTTTTAAGTTTTCACTTGCGTGTTGTTGCGTGACGAAATACTCATGAACCTTTGATGAGTCTGATACGAGACCAAAAGAGCCTATGTGTGCCTATTTTCATGCGTGAGAAAAAGAAATAAATTTACCGTTCTGGACACTCTCACGTGCAACTGAAAACAAAGCACCTGCCTCGGACCTACAAAACCTTAGGGGTCATAGCCACATTATGATATGGAATTTCGGTGTAATTAAGGCAATTACCGGAGTAATAAGAAAAGTAAAAACACACCTCTCACTCACAGGCGAATTTTTTGGGGTTTTTTTTTTGTGTTTTATTGTCAGATGTTATACTTGAAGCAAATTTTCGAGAAAATTAAATTCATCAGCCTATATACACCACAGTTAAAAAGTTTGAGACAACTCCAGGTAATATTTTAAAATTTGGCCCCAAAAGTAGTTGTTTAGTAGATTAAGTAACAGAAAATTATTATACGAGGTTAAAAATTATTATACGAGGTTAAAAAAAAAGTGGGGCATGATATTTGTTAGAAATTTTTTTGTGACCAAAAGAAAAAAAAAAATTATGATTAAATTTTGCTCTCGTCAAAATAGCCTCCTTTAGCCAGTACAAATGTTTGGCATTCGTTGCAAAGGTTTCTCAAAGCATAAGTTTGATAATTGATTCCATTCTTTTTTTCAATGACTCTAAGAGCCCTTTTTCATATTTTTTTTTTGTTCGCTCTTATGTCAACTTCATCCTATGTTAATTCTGGGGTTCGCTTCAAACTTTTGAACTGTAGTATATATATATATATATATATATATATATATATATATATATATATAATATTATAAATTAACTGATTTAAAAATATGGGTTTTTTCGCTACACAGTTCTATCCATGTTTCAAAAAATGGAAATGAAATGAAACATGGTTAGAACTGTGTAGCGAAAAAACATATTTTAAAACAATTAATTTATAATATTAATGCTCTGTAAATTTACATTAAGCACTATTTTGTAAAAATAAAAAATGTCTATAAGAACACCGGATTATATATCTTACTGTTCTTTCTTTTTTGTTTTTGATACGCGGAGTTATATTTTCCGATTTTTTTTTAATTTGTAGGTCTGATGAATTGGATCGTGATTACAATTCCAATGTAATAAATCATAACCATGGAATATTAGTGTTTGAGCCTTTTATATTATATTCTTACTCTGTCCTGGACATTGAGTTCTACCTGGAGTTTCCTTTTGGAAATAAATCTATCTATCTATCTATCTATCTATCTATCTATCTATCTATCTATCTATCTATATATATATCTATATATATATATATATATATATATATATGACTACTAATATTATATATATATATATATATATATATATATATATTATACACTCTTGTTCAAATGAATTGAAAAAGAACCAATAATTCCGTTATTTTTTTTTCGTAATTTTCCTATGAAACATGATCCAGTGTACATGTTAGTACTTTGTATTTCCATTCCACAAAGTCGTTAGTTGCAGATTAATCACAGATTCTCGATTCGATTTAAATCAGGATAGTTTCCTGGCTAATCTATAGTACTTTGATATATTGGATATACATATATATATATATATATATATATATATAAATATATATATCAAATGGATTAAATTCAACAAATATTTTAATATATCTTGTGTTTGCTTTTGTTTTTCTTTACTTATTTCAGTAAATGCTCTCTTTTTTTTTTTTTTTTTTTTAATTAAACAGTATTAATTACATTTACCCGCCTGAATGTTCGAGAAAATTTGGAGAAAATATGTGCCCTCAACAGGAATCGAACCTGTATCCTATATGCAATCGTCATTAATCCTGACGTGCTATGACCGTTCAGTCACAGAATTCTTCCGGTTTCCAATTTCAGAGCAGATCTAATAGATCGAGAAAAATCAGTGGAGGTGTGTGTTTAAGAGCAGTAATGCGATCTTTACTAAACCGGAAGTTCTCTGTTGCTGAACGGCCATGAAAGTTTATAATACATGTTTGCAGTAAAAATATCAGCAACGCTTTTTTTTAAAAATACCAGCAATGCATTTTATATATAAAAAAAATAACCAACAATACTTATTTATGGTAAAATTACTAATAATACATTTTATAGTAAAATTACAAGCAATACATTTTATAGTAGAATTAACGATGCATTTTATCTGTAGTTGAAGGCATACAATTGCGTTCAAAATTATTTAGTTGAAGGTATACAATTGCGTTAAAATATTTAGATTTCGGCGTTAAATAACCCATGAAGGTGTTGATATGCCGCTAAACAAAATCAACGAAACAACCAAGATGAAAGAACTCTTTCATGATATTACTCCATAAAATACCCTACAATTTCTTAAAGAAATCAAATTGTATTCCAAAATATAACTATAAACAAAACTATATAAAACACACACTTATCACCGTCTCTATTAATCATATCCATACAAACATATATATGCACAAAAGCTGAGTATCATCTACCATGTATTCACTTGTGAAGGCATCACAACATATATTATAGTTTTATTACTTCCAACGCCGAAGAAAATTAAATTTCGGGATTAAATGACCCATAAGGAGTTGATATGCCGTTAAACAAACAAATGGCATCAAATCACAAATGCTGAGTATAATCTACAATTTATTCAACTGTTAAAAACATATATATATATATATATATATATATATATATATATATATATATATATATATATATATATATATATATATATATATACTTTAAAGCTCCAACAAAATAAAAAAATTGGTATTATATGACCCATAAACTGTTGATATGCCGTTAAACAAACAAATTAAAACAAATCACAAGAGCTGAGTATCATCTACCATGTATTCAACTGTGAAAGCAGAATAACATGTATCATATTTTTATTACTTCAAAGCTCTCGAGAAAATTAAATTTCGGTATTAAATGACCCACAATGTGTGGATGTGCCGTTAAACAAACAAAAAACTACACTATTCAGATTCTTCTTGATTCGGGTGTGGTCGATTCGTAGCTTCCGCCTTTTGCCGTATTTCTTGGAGCAACCAAATATAATAAAACACTCATATCTAGTAATCATGTACACACAAACATGTACATGCACAAAAGCTGTGTATCATCTACCATGTATTCAATTGCGAAAGCAGCACAACATATATCATATTTTTATTACTTCCAAAACCCAAGAAAATTAAATTTCGGGATTAAATGACCCATAAGTAGTCGATATGCCGTTAAACAGACAAGTCTGATCAAACATAGAAGATATATTTTTCTCCCCGGAGTCGATCCTTCAGATCTACAAATCAACAATTCGCCCTTGCATGGAGTGTTGCTGCCATATATGGTCTGGAGCCCCTACTGTTTGCCTCGGGGTTCTTGATAAGCTCCAGAGGCGGATATGCAATATAATTGGCCCTGATCTGGCATCTCGTCTACAGTCACTCTCTCCCAGACGTGCCGTCGCTTCTCTCCGGCTTTTTTATAAATACTTTCATGGTAATTGTTCCGAGGAGCTGCATTCGCTGGTTCCCAGACTTCATGAGTTCAAGCGCCCTACGAGGCTGGCATCCCGCTCTCACCCTTTCACTGTCGAAACTCCTAAATGTAGCCGTCTCTTCTACTCCAATAGCTTCATGTCTCGCACCTCTCGCCTGTGGAACTCCCTTCCTTATTCCTGTTTCCTTGAGAGATATAATCTCCAACTATTCAAATGTAATGTCCTTTCCTCTATCACCCCTATCTGATCTTGCTCCAAATCTTCTGTAATCCCTTGCGTCCTGGTGGCTTCTCACCTTGCTTGGGGTGAAACGCTTAAAAAAAAAACATAAAAAAAAAAAAAACGATTTAAAAACACTCATTGGTCAAGAACAGTGCAGCGTCACTGGCGCAAGGAATACAAAAGAATATGAACTCCATTGGACAATCAGCCTAATGCGCCGTATAACAAAACGAAACCAGCGAGACCAGGTAGAAATGTACTAGAGATACTGTGAACCTTAGGTGATTTCGGCATTGACAAGATTAAAAATATATTAAGGGGAATATAAAACAGTGGTGATATATTTTCATAGCCCTGCCTAATAAGCCAGGTGCAAACGAATGTGAACTCCATCAGCCTAATGAGCCATATAACAAAACATTCGAATTCTGATGAATAGAGCGCTCAGCATAATTAGACTGGAAACTTGACAAGAACAGTGTGGGTTCGTCAAAGACATTGGAAGAATCAATGCGAAATTTATGCTCAGAATGATATAAAAAAAGCAATAGAAACCTAAAAGACGTATATTTATCTTTTATAGGTTATACAGTGTAACCCGGATATAAGAGACCCTGATATAAGACAAACCCGGATATAAAAGAGATTTTCTCTGGTCCCAAATTAGAGCCTGTGTTAATGTATAGAAAATAGACCAAACCCGGATATAAAAGAAGCCCGGATATAAGAGACTTCGTCTCCGGTCCCGCCAACTCTCTTATATCCGGGTTACACTGTATATAATAGCTGGCCACTCGTATTCAAGGATACCCGTCTACTCGGACGGCTAGCCAATCCCTATTGCAGACGCTTGCTCAGGCGTATTTGTGTTTGTTCAACACCCGCAGAGCCCACCTGTGGTTTATACTGCGACTATACTGAGCAGACCTTAGTTACAGTTTCTGGGAAAGAGCGTGTTATCTAGCGTGATCAAAAATTTGAACAAAGTCAGCACGCTCATGTCCTTCATGCTAGCACAGCTTTCGACGGCCCCAAAGGATTCCGTCTCTCCAATTTCGCTCACAAGGCTTGGGTCAACCTGTGGTATGGTTTTCAGGCACTTTCCAAAGGTGCCGCACGGTGGGATCGAAACCCTCCAGTCCGATAACATCAGGAAGTCGCCTTCCTGACAAATCGACTATAGTGAGATTCGAAACCGGGTCTCTTGGTCAGATTGCGAACGTTCTAATCACTCGGTCACGTGACAATAATAATAATAATAATAACTAGTTTTAACCTATGAGAATTTCACGGTTTTCCTATTTTAAATTTCTGATGAATTAATTATTGTCTACGCTCATGTCGAATTCTACTGCACAAAAAAAAAAAAAAAAAAAAAAATCACAAAAACTCCACTAGTGAATCTTTAAATATTTGAGCTTAACATCTTTAACAAAATATTGCAGTAACAATCATAAATATGAATGATGGTTGTTATTTAAAGAAGTAAGGGGGTACAAATGAAACGATTTGAAATTGACAACTTTTGCTATTTTACCGAAACAGACGTCAAACACTGCTATCAGCACATCTTTATTTCTTTCTTTCATTTTCTCACTGAAACCAAGTAGCGTTTTCTGATACGTGTTTTGTTCATAAAAAAAAAAGAAAAAAAATTAGTTCAATATTTATGAGGTATTGGCAGAGTAACGATCGTCCGAACTGTCGAAGGGAGGGAACGAGCACAAACATATATATATATATATATATATATATATATATATATATATATATATATATATATATATATATATATATATATATATATATATATAAATGAAATAATAATAAAAAAAACGAAAGAATATTAATCTACAACCCAAAGTGTCTGAAGATTTTAATTTTTTTAATATTTTTTATTGTTCAATATATATATATATATATATATATATATATATTAAAGGAAATGATAATAATAATAATAATCGACCGGTTTATTTAAAGTAAAAATATATAAAATTTAGAAAATGAACATCATCGGCCATTTTTTTGTAGGAAAGAAGATTAAATTGTAAACCACACCAGAAAGAAAGAAAGAAAGAAAAAAAGAAAGAAAGAAAGAAGGGGAGGGGGTAGAGGAGGGGCAGATTAGGATAAGGCGCAGGTGGACGAAGAAGAAAATCGAGGAGGAAGAAGGAGAGGGAGGAAGAAGAAGATGAATGAGGAGGGGGAAAGAAAACGGATAATGAGGAGGGGAAATAATGGAGAAGAAGAAGAAGAAGAAGAAGAAGAAGGACAAGAAGGAGAAAAAGAAGAAGAAGAGGAAGATGGAGAAGAAGAAGAAGAAGGAAAAGAAGAAGAAGAAGAAGAAGAAGAAGAAGAAGGACAAGAAGAAGGCGAAAAAGAAGAAGAAGAAGAAGAAGCAGGAGAAGAAGAAGGAGGAGAAGAAGAAGAAGAAGAAGAAGAAGAAGAGGAGGAGGAGGACGCCATATCACCCCCCCCCCGCCACCAGCAAAAATAAAAAGAAACTTCAACTCGGAAAAAAATAATTAAAATAAGCTGTTTAATATGGCTTGCGTTTATTATTTTTTTCGTTCTTTTTTTTTTCCCTGCCTGTCATGAGGATCGACGACAGCACGGAAATTAACTCTTAATGAGTTAACTTGAGATGACCATGTTTGTTGTTACACGCCAACGCCCTTCTGTTTTTTCCTCACCTCCTCACGTACGAAATCTGCACACTGATTATTGTACTTAAATATCTTTACCTCTTCTGGCCTGGCGCACTGCTTACGTGTGATTTTTAAATGCAAAATTGCATGCCTAATGACAGTCACTGCAACAGGAACTCTGTCCATATCATATGTCCTGCCAACGTCATGTACACGTACATTTTGGCTCCGTCTTGTCGGCTACAGATCCCCGACTAAAGCCACGCCTATATGTACATGCAGAGGACCGAAAGTCTTCTTCTTGTCGGCAATAGATCCCCGACTAAAGCCACGCCTATATATACACACACAGAAGAGCGAAAATCTGATATCTGATTTCAGAAAGTAGAACAAAATTGCTAATATTAGGTTCTTACATATATATATATATATATATATATATATATATATATATATATATATATATATATATGTATGTATATATATCAAAGAATTTCTCAGAGTTAACCTGTAGGAAAAGACAATATTTATAAATATAAAAGGCAATAGTAATTGACGTAATTTCGGTTAACAGTATGAAAATAGCATTCTCTAAATCCTTCCAGTTGCTAAGGACATTTTGTTTTGTTATTTTTAGTTACTTTGTTTAATAAATTCATTTCATTTGTTTTGGCTTAAAAAGTCCACATTGGGCGAAACGCGTCGGCTACTATTGCAGTTTTCCTATTGTCTTTTACATATATATATATATATATATATATATATATATATATATATATATATATATATATATATATTTTGTTGGATTGATCCAACCAAATATGTTAGCTCTATCTCTGATATTGAGCACTTTCTAATAAGTACCATACATATAATATATAAATTATATATATATATATATATATATATATATATATATATATATATATATATATATATATTTATATTTATATATACACACACTTTTCACATATATATATCATATATATATATATATATATATATATATATATATATATATATAAAAATGTCCATAAAGTTTGTGTGCACTTTAAGAAATTTATAACTTTATTTGTATTTCCGATAGAAATAATTTGTAAAAAGGATTAGAAAAAGTAAATCTATATTTTTTAAGGTTTTATTGAAATTTTATTTAAGTTTCCACATGTCCTCCATCATTGGCCATATAAAGGGTTATACGATTTTGCAGTTCACAGAAAACATTTGCCAACTGATTTACAGTAATGCCTGAAATCACATTAGTTATTTTAGCTATACTTAAAACTAGGTACATTAAACTTTATAACATTTTTTTTTACAGATTATTTCTATCGCAAATACAAATAAAGTTATAAATTTTTAAAGCCCACAAAACTTTTATGGACACACTATATATATATATATATATATATATATATATATATATATATATATATATATATATATGCGTAAATTGTCGCCTTTTTACATTTTAATTTCGCGCATGCGCGTTGTTTAATAAGGTCAGTTGGGCGCCGCCTGTGAGACAAACATCATCAAACTGGAAACGGCATACTGTACTGCTTGGCATTCGCACCAGAAGCTCCAATACCAATATTTCAGAGTGTTTGGGTGTCAATCTGAGGACAGTTCTTTCTTTCTTTCTTTCTTTCTTTCTTTATTAATTTATTAGTACACTTTTTAAAGACCCTTTCTTTCAAAATACGTTATTCCCTTCTGAACCCATTCTATTTATCCATTTTTACTTTGTTTGGCTTTGTTTCTTTCTTTCTTTCTTTCATTCTGTCCCGGTCTTTCCTTCTAAGATTTTTCTTTCTTCCAAAACAAGATAATTTCCTTCTTGTTAACTTTTTCTTTGCTTCTTTCTTTCTAAACTTGTCCTTCCTAAAATCGTTCTTTCTTTCTTTCTTTCTTTCTTTCTTTCTTTCTTTCTTTCTTTCTTTCAAAACACGTTCTGTCTTTCTAAGCTTTCTTTTTTTCACCTGCAAGATCCTTCCGACATTGTTTGTGTCTTTCCTTCTACACACTTCAAAATTCACAAAATTAAAAAGGATTTATTTTTAAGCTTTCAAGTGAACATCGTCAGTGAGTACCACCTATTGTAGCCCTTCAGCCCGAAAATAATTCCTTAAATGCCGAGCATATGACTATATATTTATTATATATATATATATATATATATATATATATATTAATCAATATATATATATATATATATATATATATTAATATATATATATATATATATATATATATATATATATATATATATATATTAATCATATAAAAATTCAATTCATAAACTAGAGTCACGTACATAAAAATAGATTCTATCATATTTTCTTTACCATAAGCGACATACAAAACGTGTTACGCTGCTTTATTTTTTTTCTTTTTTTTTTTCCGGGCTTAAGCGTCAGCACGTGGAGCCTAATAAGCATTTACAAACTTTTGGAAAAAAAAAAAAAAACCGGTTAAAAATGTAAAACCCATATGAAATTAAAACAATTTTCCTTTTTAATTCTCTGTAAACATTCATGTATTATAATTATTACATCTAAATATCTAAAAACATTAAGTGTTTTCCAATTTTTATTATTTCCTCTGTATAGTAAGTTTTTGTACATATTTTTCTAACAATTACCTATATATATATATATATATATATATATATATATATATATATATATATATATATATGTGTGTGTGTGTGTGTGTGTGTGTGTGTGTGTGTGTATGTGTGTGTGTAATAAAAGAAAGAACAGTAAGATAAACAATCCGGTAATATTATTAATATTTTCATTTTTACTAAACAGTGCTGAAGGCAAATTTACAGAGCATAAATATAAATTAACTGGTTTAAAAATATCGTTCCTTCGCAACAGAGGAATTACCATGTTGCAAAAACAGAAACTAAAAACTTCAAATTCAATTATATAGTTAAATTAAAGGCCCAAGTTCTGATTTATTTTCAACAGAAGTTTGGAATCCTTATTTAATTATATAATTGAATTTGAAGTTTTTGTTTCCCTTTTTGAAACTTAGTAATTCCTGTGTAGCGATCGAAATCTTATTTTAAATCAGTTAATTTATATATATATATATATATATATATATATATATATATATATATATATATTTTTTTTATTAATTCATTGAGTCTGAAAGAAACCTCAACAGAATGCAGAAAGCACTGGACGGCTGTTTCGTCCTATATTTGGGACTCATCAGCAGTGGGCATCCACTACCGAGAATTGAAACCCTGACAGTTAGGTTATCAAGCAAACGTCATACCAACTCTCTCTCTCTCTCTCTCTCTCTCTATATATATATATATATATATATATATATAATGAGTCTCTGAAACCCACATACACCTAACTCTGATACAATGACAAAAGAACACGACCAGCAATTACAGGAGCCGAAGTAAATATGGAGAACTAAGAGATAAATACAGTCCCTGAAATGCATTCTATATATATATATATATATATATATATATATATATATATATATATATAATGGATAAAAATCCTGGACAGGACAGATGCGGTTTATTTATACAGCATACAAGCCATAAAAATGGCGCTTAACATGATCAAAAACACAGAAGACAAAAAAAAATTCAATACAATTCTCAGACTCTCTATCCAGCCTAACAGCAATTAAAAAACAAATCTAAATCATCCTTACATACATGAAATATTGGAATCCTGTCATGATTTGATAGAAGCCCCACAAAGTAGTAATTTTGGCCTGACTTCTTGGCCGTGTAGGCATTATGATGCACTGGCAAAGAGGGGCAACCAAAATGCCGATAACCAACGTTAGACTTCCGTATACAGATTATAAAAAATAAATACGTTAAAAGAAAATGGCAAAGAATTTGGGATACTTTTTCAAGCAACAAACTGTACGGTCATCAGTCGACAGTCATACTGGAGAATAGAGAACTGTTACCTGATAGAAGACAGGACGTAATACTAAGCAGGGATCGAATTGGACAGGCATATTTTACACATAAATAATTACTTAAAGCAGACATTGCATCTCGATGTATTTCTTGTGATCAATCATTCACTCTTAAACATCTCAGAATAGAGTTCAAGAAAAGAAAGAAAAAAGAAAAACACGCCACAAATACCATGAAGTAAAAAAAAAAAATCTTAATATGCTTTTCAAAAATATGTTTCTCAAATAATCGCCGATCTGAACGAGGTAGCCTGCATCCAGCAGTTATAGAATAACATCAAAATGCATCTTATTAACTATAAACTATATATCTAAAAAAACATACCTTTATCCTGAATAAAATTGCGTACAGAACAACTGTGTTTGAAACCATGACGTTGCAGGTTTATTTGGATGTCGGCATTCCGTGGCCCATGGAGATTCTCATGATGCTGACCAAAATCAATCAACCAACCATTTCGGCATTAATAATACATAATGGTTGATATATCGATTAAATAACCAACCAATCAATTACCACAATGTCAAATATCCCGCATATCTCAAAGTACTTGCAGTGAACTAATTTTTCTGTGGTAGCTGCACTTAACCTACCTAAGGCAATGGTGCCGTAATCTGTCTTCAAACAACACACTTTTCTTCAAATCTCAGACGTTTATTGCAGTACCTCTTAAAGCTTTCAAAACTGTCCTTCATCGAAATGGGTGATAATTAAGCACATCCGAATATATATATATTAATATTAATAATATATTATAATATATTAATAATATAATATATAATATATATAATATATTATAATATATTATAATATATTAATATGTATATATTAAGCGAGGACATTTTTTTCGACTAATAATATTGCTGCCATATATGGTCCGGTGCCCCTGCTGTTTATCTGGAGCTTCTTGATAAGATCCAAAGAAGAATCAGCAATTATATTCGTCCTGATCTGTTAATTCGGCTTCAGTCACTTGCACACCGCCGTAAATTTGCTTCTCAGTGTCTTTTCTATAAATACTTTCATGGCAATTTTTCGGATGAGATTTTCGCTTTGGTGTCTAGACCCTGACTTTAACCGCTATACTAGAGTAGCAGCTACAGTTAAGCTAGCTAGATGTAGCCGTAAGTTCTATGCTAACTGGTTGTTTTCACGCACTTCTCGCTTGTGGAACTCGCTCCCGACTCCATGCTTTCCAGCCAACTTTAAACTGCAAAAATTTAAATGCAATGCCAATCGCTATCTACTGTACTTCTGATTACTTTTTTCTATTTCAACTCATTATTAAGGTTTCTGTTCCGAATTCTTACACACCGTGACCCCTTGCGTGCCAATGATTGTAATGTCTTCCTTGGGGTGATATGAATCGATAGCAAAAAATACAAAGAAGAGCGCGCCAGAAATACTATGTTGTACAAAACTTTAGTTTGCTATTCAAATATATATATATATATATATATATATATATATTGGCTCCTGAATAATTAATTTCAGTTGAGCTCTCTGGGGAGGAGGTGTGGGTTGGTAAACAGTGATTATAGCTATATAGCGAGACTCTTCGCAAAGGCGAATTGAGTCACTGTTGGTCACTGGGCGTGTTTCTAAAAATAAATACGCTAAAAATCCACCTTCATCCCTACCGTGCGCCGACGGCTTAATGGTTAGAATCTCCGACTGACACCAGTCGGGTTTCGATCTAGCTAGAGGCAACCGGATGTCTAGCCACACTGATGAGCTGTGAAACAGTCTGTCTGTGTATGACGTTATATATATATATATATATATATATATAAAAATCAGATTTATGTGTGCCATGCGTGAAACACGGTTCAAAGAATATGTATCTGACAAGGCAGATTTTTTCCCCGCACTAATTTGCCATTTCTTTCTGCGGTAGACCAATTGCCATCCAAGACTGTAGAACTTGGCCTGTCCTGCTATTTAACCATAGAAGAGGATTCATATCTTTCCCTATGGTATTAGCACATAACTGAATTTCAGTCAGTTATGTGCCATGCGTGATACACGCTTAAGCGATCATTTATCTTTCGACACATAACTGACGAGGCAGCTTTTTTTTCCCGCAGTAGATTGCAATTTCTTTCTGCGGAAGACCAGTTGCCATCCAATGCTATAGAACCCGATCTGTCCTGCTATTTACCCATAGTTAAGAGGAGAAGAAGAGGATTCATACCACTCCCAAGGGTATTAACATATAACTGAATATCAATCAGTTATGTGACATGCGTGATACACACTTAGGCGATCATGTATCTTTCGATACATGACTGACGAGGAAGATATTTTTCCCGGCTGTAGGCTGCCATTTGTTTCTGCGGTAGACCAGTTGCCATTCAAGGCAACTCGGTCTGTCCTGCTATTAACCCATAACTGGATGTGGGGGGGGGAAGAAGATTCATGCCCTTTCCCAAGGGTATTAGCACGTAAGTGAATGTAATGGATTCGACTGGAATTCGAACTCGGCTCTATGATTTCTTAATCCGAGCCGATATGCATACTCTACCGTAGTCGACCTGTAGGTTGGGTTTTCTTGTAGAAGTGCTGGAAATATTTATAGAAGAAAACGTATCCTATTATCTGTATTATCCTGCAAGTATAAAACTGCGGTTAAAGCCATGAGGTTGCAAGCAACAAATTTGGATGTCGGCCATTCATTAACACATGGAGGTTGTGATGCCGCTAGACAAGATCAATCAATCAATCATTTTGTCATTAATGACCCATAGTAGTTGATATGCCGGTTAAAAAAAAAAAAAAAAACAATCATCCAACTTAGCATTTTTAAGTGGTCACCCATCTAGGTATGGTCAAGACTCGATGTTGCTTAACATTCATGTGCTCGCAGATTTCGCGTATGCAGCAAATATTTCATGTTCCATTTAGCATTTCTTCCGGTCTTTACGGAACGCCGTTAGGGAAGAAGAAAATTAATTTCCTGGAAGAGGGCAAAACTTATATGCGTCATATACGGAGGATAAATAGGGGAATTGGGTTGAAAGGTGGCGGAAATGAGAGGAGCACAATTAGAAAAGAAATTGTTAAGAAGTGTTTTTAACTCAGTAAACCATATCAACTATCTGTGCATATCTATCTATCTATCTATCTATCTATCTATCTATCTATCTGTCGGTCAGTCTGTCTGTCTATCTATCTATCTATCTATCTATCTATCTGTCTGACTGTTCATATCTATCTATCTATCTATCTATCTATCTCTATCTGAGTATGTTCATATCTCTGTCTCTGTCTCTCTCTCTCTCTCTCTAACTCTGTTCATATCTATCTATCTATCTATCTATCTATCTATCTATCTGAGTCTGTTCATATCTCTCTCTCTCGTTCTCTCTCTCACTCACACACACACACACTCTCTCTCTCTCTCTATATATATATATATAACTGTTCATATCTATCTATCTATCTATCTATCTATCTATCTATCTATCTATCTGAGTCTGTTCATCTCTCTCTCTCTCTCTCTCTCTCTATATATATATATATATATATATATATATATAATATATTCATATCTATCTATCTATCTATCTATCTGAGTCTGTTCATCTCTCTCTCTCTCTCTCTCTCTCTATATATATATATATATATATATATATATATATATATATATCTATTTATCTATCTATTTATCTATCTATCTATCTGAGTCTGTTCATATCTATCTATCTATCTATCTATCTATCTATCTATCTATCTGAGTCTGTTCATATCTATCTATCTATCTATCTATCTATCTATCTATCTATCTATCTATCTATGTTCATATAAAGACGGCTTATGCAATATGCTATATCCTGACCTGCTATCTGGATTACAGCTACTTATCACAAACGCGTCATGTGCATTCCCTCTGTCATTTTTATATACAGTTTTTCATGTTAACTGCAATGATTAGCTACTTTCATTGGTACCCCCAACTTAACAAATATTAGCTTGTTACAAGATTTCTATCTGGGATCCACCCTTTTACTGTCAAGACAGTTAAATGTCAATCTGTTGCTTCAAGTCTCTTCTTCATATTTCAGGAGATTCTTCAGCATTTATTGCTATATAGGAGAACCTATATCGCATAACATGTCTTTGTTTCAAATGAAGTTTTCCTGTTTCTTAATATTCTGCCTAGTTTCTGGAAGGCATCTTTCTTATCTAATGTAAAAAAATTAGGAATTACACAGCAGTTCTGTACATTTTATTTTGTTTCTAATGGAATTTTCCTGTTTCTTGTTCAGTCGTCTTTTTCTTTGTTTTTAACTTAATTTTCCTGTTTCTTAATACGTCTTTCCCTGCTCTAATGTAAAAATTAGATATTACTCAGCTGTTCAGTCGTCTTTTCTTTGTTTTTAACGAAATTTTGTGTTTCTTAATACTTTGCTTAGCTTTTGGGAATCATCTTTGGCTATCTCAATCCTCCTTCGGATTTTAGTATCTCTCTTTCCGTTGTCTTTTAAAATACTTCCTAGAACGTTACTTTTAGAAAATCCATTTAATTACGTCTTCAATTTTCTAATATACTTCGAAGCACAATTCTTGGACAAATATTGGATTTTAAAGAGAATTTTAATTTTTTTTTTATTTGTATTTTTCGTATATAATGGTGGATCGATATGTGCCGAAATAAAAGGCATAAATGTTTTTAAAATGTCTAAAAAAAATATTTATATACCGAAATTATCTTTTCTTTAAATTCGGCTTAGTTTTAGACCATTATCTTTCAAATACATACTTCGCTACAAAATTAACTGTCTTTGATGAATACAGGGTGCCGCTGGTATTTGAGGACAGATTATATGGATTAGTTAAAAAAAAATCTTGCCGAACAAATAAATATAACTATATTTGATTACAAACAAGTAAACATGAAATTTAGCTAACTGTTATTTAATTCTATTCAATAAAACCGCCCCTAGCATCAATAATTGCCTCTGCACGAGATCGAAATCGGCTGCAAGCTCTGATTAATTGGTTCTTATTTATGTCAGACATTACTCGAACTATTGCAGCTTTAAGGGAGTCTTTGGTGTTATGAGGCTGTTTATTACCCTCCTTCTCAACAACGCTCCACGCATAACAGTCTAGTGGATTGAGATCTGGAGAGTTAGGAGGCTAAATATTGGGTGTGATGTGGTCGTACAAATGGTCAGCCATCCATTCTTGTGTTCCTAGAGCTCTGTGGGATGGAACCGAATCTTGTTGGAATATGTAAAGGCTGCCTTTGCATATGTTGTCAATCCAAGACTTGGCAACTGTTTCTAGAACCGCAATGTAAGTAGCAGAATTTACTCTAAGACCTTGTGGAGAAAATTGTCGTGGCATAACATGTCCTTCATTGCTGACAACACCCAATACCATAACACAGAAAGGAGATTTTGTGCGCATCACTCTTGGCACCTCAGAAGGATCTAAACAAAGCCATCTGTCATTTCTTCTGTTAAGATTTTGATCTTGATCAAAATTTTTCACATCTGAGAAAAACCAGATCACATCAGCTTCTGAAGGATTTTTAAGTTTGTTTAAAAGCCTTTGGGATCTGTTTAAACTGTTTTCTTTTGCTTTTTAAGGCATAAATTGACCTCTCTTCATCACGTAGAACTTGTTTTCGAATGTCTTCATGAACACTCCTTCTGATTGTTTTTTTCAGACACATGCACTTTTTGGCAATTGACCTCATTGATTGACCTTGGTTTTCATCAATTGTCTGCTTGACTTCCTGAAGAAATTCGGATGTTCTCACTTTATCAGAACGTGCAGAATATCTTTTACGTTTTGATACAGACATTGGGAAACTGTCAGCGTCTTCTAACTCTTTTCGTATCTTATGGACAAACGGTCTTGCAACTCTGAGGAAACGTGCAATATCCAAATCGCTATGATCAGCATTTAATGCCACAATCACAGAATGCCTTTTCATTTCATTTGTTATCATAATATTTGCCATTCTTGATTTCTGAAAAATAAAAGCATTAGATGTTAGTGGGAAGCAGTATTAATCTTAAATCTGTATGTTCATAAATACCAGCCGTACCCTATATATTAATTTACTAAGAATAGTTTAGATATTGTATAAGACCGCAATTATGGAGCACCCGTTGTGGATCGAACTCACGGTCGTAATTGATCGGGCGAGATAAGCTTTCTAACCATTGCAAAACATCGAAGTGACTCTGTCGATGTATATATACCTTTGCAAGACACTATGTAAAGTTGCTTTCCTGTTCGTAAATTTGTGGGATTTTGTTTCTGGATTTTGTCGGCCTTAGATCATTCGTAGCATTATATATCGCTCTGAGGAAACTTGTTTTGTCACTCAGAGTTACTCTCCTATTTGGCAGACCCCGAAGGGGACACGCCATTTCAATAATGCGTTTCACCCGATTAACAATTCTTCAATCCACTTTTGGGTAAATTAATTTTCATGACGAACTACTCGCTTTTCAACACTCAAATGTCAATTTTCTAAATTAAATTCAAGTCTACTTTTGCGCTACAGAAGGTATAAATGCTATATATATATATATATATATATATATATATATATATATATATATATATATATATATATATATATAATTTCAATAAAGGTGCATTTAATTTACAAATTCATGAATTATTCATACAAAACAAATACAAAGGTTAATGATTTAATTGGCGAGAAATCCATCGTCGCGAACAATTCAAATAATATACAAAAAACCCCGAACCTGTTATGAATGAAAAAATCCTTGTTTTCAGTAATAATTACTGTAATTATTGAACAATATAGTTTGACAGAAAATTTAACAGTAAAAAAGAATTCACTTATCACCATATTTGTACAAGAAAGTACAATTGGAAAATTTAAAAGCAAACTCAGCGTTGCTACTGCACGCTCCAAAAACAATAACTCATTTCTAATAGCATTTTTCGGATACAACAATACATATGTTTTCGTTGTCCTCTTATTACTGAGAGTAAAAACAAGAACAACATCTATTCCATACCTGAAGATGTCTGTAGGAACAGACGAAAAGCTTGTAGTAAAATAAGAACTAATGCAACAGAAATTTATAAAAACAAGGATTTCTTGCTAATTAAATCATTAACCTTTGTATTTGTTTTTTGTATGAATAATTCATGAATATATATATATATATATATATATATATATATATATATATATATATATATTTATATATATATGTATATATATGAAAATTTTAGAGTTAACATGCAGAAAAAGAAAATATGCATAAAGGTAAAAGACAATAGGAAAACTGTATTATTAGCCGACGCATTTCATCCAATGTGGACTTTTTCAAAGTAAGAACGAAATGAATTTATTTATTTTATTATATATATTTATATATGACAAATATTATTTACGAATTTAAATGTCCATTAAGGAATTGTATTCCTGATCAATCAAAATTCGTAAATAATTATATAGGCCACACTACAACATGTTTGGCACGAAGACTTACCCTACACCTTTTTGACCATAGCTCAATTAGATCTCATTTAAATATTCATGGAGATCTACCGGACTCTATTCGTAACATACTTGTTGACAACACTAATATAATAGCATCATTTATATGCAAAAAAGGCTAAAAGTAATGGAAGCCTTATGAATAAAAGCAAAAAGAAAAACACTTAATAATATTAATTATGAACATGGACACAATTTCATGATCGTGTTTTGAAAAATTAAAACATCATATGAATACATACATGCAACAAACTATTTCTTATTTAACAAATGTTAAAATATTTTATAACCATCTGAAAAAAAAAAATTAGATCGCATAAATTGTATAAAAGACTAAATAAAAATACCTTGTCTGTCGTATTCAATGAAATGATAAAAAGGATTGCTGCTAAATTCGGACACACACACACATTTTATATATATTTATCATCTGAAAACTCTTATTTCGAAAAAAATCATTTACATCGTGATACACGTTTAGAAGATCATGTATCTTTCGATACATGATTGGCGAAATTGTATATTAAAGACTAAATAAAAGCACCTTTAAGAAGAAGAAGATTCTGTCGTATTCAATTGAAAACTGTGCCTCAATCCGAAATTCATTACTCCATTCTTTTCAAAGACATTTTCAGAGCTGCCGAAATATACACACACACTAAAATTTGCTTTAATTTTTAATCACACACACACACACACAATATAAGAGAATACGACATTATTAAGAAATAAAATATATATATATATATATATATATATATATCTACTATTTTTTTAATAGTTTTAATTACGTCCATCTGTCTTTACATTTGAGAGAATTAATACATGGATCGAACATTTGACCCGCTAAACTCTTAAACCTCTTTCACTGGCATTCATAGAATACAATCTAAATCATCAATTTTCCAAAGTACGAAAGTCCATGCGTGAGTTTTTTTTTTTTAAATTTTATTTTCGTATCCGTAACGTAAACAATGTAATTTCTGAGGAATGAATGGGTTTTATTTTTAGAATGACATGTATCTTTCGATACATGATTGGCGAGGCAAACTTTATATCTATTTTTTTTTTTTTTCCTCATGCATTATTTATCACAACGTTGCCATCCAAGGCTATAGAAAAATCCCTGGTCTGTCATAGACAGGGACACAATTGGAAAATTCGTAAACTTAAGGAATCAGCTCTCCTGATTTACAATATGGGAACCAGTAATAAGGAGTGCCAGAGAAAAAATGATATCTTTAAAGACATGCAATGATAACAGCAAAATTGAAATAAGATTCATACCCTTGTCCTCAAGGTT